GGTTTTTTTACTTAGGCGAGAAGCGCGGACGACCGTCAATCTCAGATGAAGGGCTTAGAGTGATCGGGCTGGATTTCGGCCTAGGCGGGCGCGCGCGGAGGGCAGCTTTGCCGGCCTAGGCCCAGGTTATGGCCTGGGAAGGCATCGCAGGCGCGCAAGGAACGCAGGCGGGGCTGTTTTGCCTACGGGCCGAGCAAACAGTATTGATTTGAGTCCATTTTTCTTTTACTTTTTTCAGTAAATCGTTATTTCTTGAAAAATGATTAATGGCTCAAAGAAAATTAGTAAAGAGAATTTCCCTGTGGGTAACATTCATCAATTATAGAGTTTCCGCTGCAAAGTTTAATGTTGATTAAATCTTCTAATTAAATTTGAACCAATGGGAGAATTTAATTTGAAAAGCAGTTATATTTAGTAAATTATGATTATGTTTATCCTCTAATTAAATTGGAACCAACGGAAAAATTTAAATTAGATGAGTAGTCCATTTTTGTTTATGTAAGATTATGGTATTATTATTTTCTGGCCAACATTGATGATGATTATAATGAATTTAAGTTTGAAGTTTAAATCTCTGATAAATTTTACTCCAACGTGATCAATTTTTCAGAGAGTAGATAAAGACCAAGAAATGCTCCTAAACTAATAGAGTGTATTTCATTATAAGTTTCCACTGCAATGATGTTGATTATCTTCCAATTAAATTCGAACCAACGGAAGAATTTAATTTTGAAGAGTAGTTATATGGATTTCAAGTTAATTTATGAGTTTTATGCATTAATTCTATTTTCTGCCCAACGGTGATGTAGAATTAATACAGAAGGATATTGTATGTTTTATTTTTAACCGACGAGATCACTCGACTGTATGCCAACGGGCTGCAATGCTGGGGTATGTGAATGAAGAGGCTTGAGTCAAGTTAGTTCAGGACAATTTTTTTGTTAGTTTACTAATTTTCTGATTAAATTGGAATCAACAGGAAGATTTAATTGAAAATGAAGTATAAGTGAATGTTTTAGTCGTCATGACTAAGTTTTTGTATAGATGTATCCCGTATGAGAGAAGTTTTGGCATAGTACTTATGCTAGTCAATCCTGTATGGCAGGAGAAGTTTTCTGATGATTCACATGTTTTGTATCCCGCATAGCGAGAGAAGTTTGGGTAGCTCTTATGCTGTCCTAGTATTGACCTTGGCACAATAGAAATATATCGTCATGGTCAATACTGACCAAAAGATAAGAAAAGATGCAAGTGTGACTTGTAAAAGCACTGCTAATGAAAGACCTCGTTCAATTCTCAAAGTGAAATAAGGAAAGTGTACTCCTATACAAATAAAGAAATAACTATGTTCGTATGACATAATCATATGAATGAAGTAAGTTATATGTGTCTCCTGGTTCACAGGTTTTCTTAATGGTTCTCAAAATTATGACAGTAAAGTTCATGCTATATTTCGAGGGGAGAATATTAAGATCAATTAAGAAAAATACTCTTCATTAAGAGTGAGATAAAGATTAATTAAGAAAGATACTCTTCATTAAGAGTAAGATAAAGATTAATTAAGAAAGATGTATGCGACCGTCGAAGGAGTACAACGGTCATAATAATGATATCCCTAAGGAGAGAAAAGCTAAATTCCTGTCGGAAGGATCTTTTAAAGTTCCGACAGGAAGATAGCGTAGCCAGCCTCAAAAGTGTTAAGGTGGTGCTTAAAGTGCCATATGAGGTTTTAACAGATTAAACCCAAAATAAGATATTTAAAGATACACTATCTTTAGAAAATATGGGAAGATCTGGGGGAGCATGGTATGTAGAGGTATGTAGAGACCTAAGACTTGAAGAGAAGAGAGACTGTGTGCCCACTCTAGTGACTCAAGAACAACAAGTTTCTCAATACCTATTGATGTTGTATGACTAATACAACACATGTTATTAGCTCTTCGAAGAAGATGAATAATGTTAACAAGGATCTTGTAATACAGGAGCCTGTAGAATCAATTACCTCTTGGCAATAAAGAGCAACAACAGCCCTATATGAAAGTGACAGTGGCTGAGGCTGAAGGTCTCAAAGAATTAGTAAACCTGTTTTTCTAATGACTATGAAGTCTATGTTAGTAAAGAAATTCAAATGGAGGGTGATCCCACCTCATTTGAAGAAGCCATGAGAAGCATTTACTCGTTTAAATGGCAAGAAACTATGGAAGTTGAAATGAATTCGATGAATACCATTGATTTTGGGACTTAGAAGTAATTCCTAATGGAGTCAAAACAGTAGGCTATTAATGAGTCTACAAGACAAAATGTGACTCCAAAGGGAATGTAGAAAGATATAAAGTTGAAATGAATTCGATGAATACCAACGTTGTTTGGGACTTAGATAAAATTCCTAATGGAGCCAAAACATTAGGTTGTAAATGGGTCTACAAGACAAAATGTGACTCCAAAGGTAATGTAGAAAGATATAAAGCATGACTTATAGCAAAAGGCTTTACGCAAAGAGGATAAATAGATTACGAGAAGAGTTTTCTCTCCAGTCTTATATAAGGATTCTTTTAGAATCATAATGGTGTTAATGGCACATTACGATTTAGAGTTACATCAGATGGATGTAAAGACGGCATTACTCAACGGGGATTTATATAAAAACGATTACATGGTACAATCCAAAAGGTTTTGTCGTGGAAGAAAAGAACATATGGGATGCCGCCTATAAAAATCCATTTATGGGTTAAATGTATGTCTCTAGACAGTAGTATTTGATGTTGATGAAACAGTAAGAAAGTTTAGGTTTTAAAGAAAATGAGAAGGACAATAGCGTTTATGCAAGGATCAAGAATGGAAAATTCATTTTCCACATCCTATGAATAGATGACATTCTACTCATTAGTAGTTATGTTAATCTGTCATTGGAGAAGAAGTTTTGTCCTCAAGTTTCAATGTGAATGATCTTGGTGAAGCATCATTGGTTCTAAGAATCGAAATTCACCGAGATAGAAGAAAATGTGGTATTAGGACTATCGCAAAGGCATACTTAGAAAAGATTCTAAAGAAGTAAAGTATCCATGAAACCTACGCCTGCTCCTATAGTCAAGGGTAAGAGATTTGAGAACTTTAAGTGTTCCAAGAACCGATATGAGATTGATCAAATGAATATGGTTCCATATGCTTTAGTTGTTGGAAGTTTGATGTGTGTACAAGTACAAGTAAGAATTTACCCTGGCGTAGTTTATGTATCCAGGATATTTTGATAGAAGTCCAGTTCGGATATAGATCACTGGAATTAAGTTGAGAATGTTTTGCAATTTTGCAAAGTATCATAGGCCTCATGCTGAGTAAGAAAGAATAAGTATTCTCAAATAGTTGAGGGTATAAATGTTAAGTCATGACGAGATATGTAGTGAAATCCAAAGTAGCTGCTAACACTCGTAATTGGAGTATTATTGTGGAAAAACTCTAAAGAAATAGTTGTGGTATCATAAGTGATGCATACCATAGTATAGCTTGACATGATGCTTAAGGAAAAGGCAAAAGATATTAATGGAATTTGCACCCGGATTTAACAATGGTAGACAACAACAATAACCATTTAAAGTAAGTTAACTCCTAAGACAACAAGTCAAGTGTGCTGCTAAAAACATTGACACTAAGTTATATGTTGTAAAGGAGAAAATTCAGAATCATTTTGAAAGCATTAAGCATATAAGTACCAAGCAAGTACTTGTGGATCCGCTTACCAAGGCTAACCACCCAGTGCGTTCAGAGAACACACGGTCGACATGGGTTTACGAGAAAACCTATGATTTCTGGATACTAAAGGCCTAGTTAAGTATCTGTTTCAAAACAAAAAGGTGCATTGTAGCTGTTAAATATAATGGCAATTGACCGTGACGATGAGGCACCCTCTATGCACTGATCTGTGATGGAATAGGAAAAGAAAAAGGAAGTTAAGTTTAAATCATAAGATGAGATAAGGGGGAGAATGTTAGGTTGATCTCCACCAATTAGCCCAACGGTCAATTTGGCCCTTGATCCGCGCCCTGATCGGGGGCGCTCAGCCTTTCTATTGGCTGACGGCTGCCCATCGCGCAGCGCCATAAAAGAACGGTGGGGGCTGAGGCACAAGGTACGAAGTTCATCGGTAGCCGCCAGTCCCACCCCGAAGTTTCTAACCCAAGTCCAATCTAAAGGGGCGATGTGAGCGACGGGAAGCGCCATCGCCTTCGACCACCGTCACTGCACCACGCCTACACTGCTACGACACCGACGGCCACGTCGCCGCGGCGCCATGGCCGCAACTGTCTTAGGGAGAGGTACATCACCAGGTCTCCCATTAAGCTAAGTTCTACTCACTGATCTACGCCTAGAAGTGTTTCCGATTCTATCAAGGGGATCCCTCCTGAGCATCTTTGATTCAAAAGGGACATCATCACAACAGCAAGGCCGTCGACTTACATTGTTGCATGAACGATAGATATATCCATCGGTCATCGGTGAATCGCTCGCTTATCATTTGGATTTACAAAATATAAACGTGCTGGGTATGGTTAGTTTAATTGTAAGGAAGAGAGAGTTTGGACCCTGAAGACGAGTCCATTATCCCGCGCGTTCGGCGTCGAGTGACCCTGGCTTACTGAAAAATCGGAGACTGATGTTGCATATTGCAAGAACTAATAGCGTTATTCCTTTCTTATATTGCTTAGTCATGATGTTGCATCCATCCCATCCTTGTTTTCATTTCCGTTCAGCCCAGCGTCAGGTACTGGCACGCTTGCTCGATCACCTGCAGCTGAATATGATGATCACCGAGCTCGGCTAGCGGAGAATAATGCGAGCAGGCAGGGCAGAGCTGCATTTTACAGTTACAGTTAGTCAGTTACACCACCGTTGCAGACTTGCAGGACTAGTAGGCTTCCCTCTTGTAGACTGTAGCTAGTCAAAATCGAATCAGCTTTGGGCTTTGGCTCGCTCACGTCACCGGGCATCGCTAACAGACGACAGACTCACTCGCAAACGGGCTGAGACTGCTGGGCGTAGTCCTTGAGGGAGACGAGGGGCAACTTCCCGCCGAGGAACTCCGGGAGCTGGCTCTCGTCGATCTCCCGCCGCAGCGTCTCCCGCAGGCTCTTGTCCTCCACGAACACGAACTGCAAATGCATGCAACGGGGCAGCTATATATTAGGCAAATGAGCTACTACTACATACAGATACAGCTGCTGCTGCTTCTTTCAGAGGCAAATGGATGGATCCATGGCGTGGCATGGCAACTCATCACCTTGTCCCTGGTGTTGGCGTCGATGAAGGGGTAGATCATGGTCTTCCACACCTTGAGGAAGATGTAGGGCACGTTGATCATCAGCGCCTTGCCCAGCCGCTCCGGGTAGTAGTTCTGCGCGAGAAGGCCGGGTGTCATCGATTCGACATATTCAGCCAGTTGAGCGATCGCCGTCGTTGTCTGATGGTGTGCAAGCATGCATGCAGCAGCCTATTGTTGCAAATTGCGTGCGTACGGGCCGTTGAGTGAAAAAGCAGAGAAGCAAATAACGTACGCACCTGCATAATCTCAATGGCAGCGATGTAGGCCCTCCGTTCCAAAAGTCGATTTGATTTTTTTAATACATCAATTTTGCTATGTATCTAAATATAATCTATACGTAGCAAAATAGATGACAAAAATAATCAAAACGACTTAACAATTTGGAGCGGATAGGTTAGAAAAGGTACCAAAGAAGCTTAACTAGCTTCTACTTGTAGAATGTAAACAGTAAACAGGGAAAGCCTGTATATTATTACTGGCAGTACGACTTGCAGTTGCAGCTGTCATGCATCATCCAACTTGTACAACTAAGGCCTCGTTTAGCTCCGCCGAATTGGCGCCGGCAGGAACACTGTAGCGGCACTGTAGCTACAGTGTTGTTTTGTTTTTACTTGGTAATAATTGTTTAATTGTTGACTAATTAGGCTCAAAACGTTCGTCTCGCAAAGTACAACCAAACTGTGCAATTAGTTTTTGATTTCGTCAACATTTAGTACTCCATGCATGTACCGCAAATTTGATGTGACGGGGAATCTTCTTTTTACATAGTGTCGAATTCTGGAATTTGGGGCAAACTAAACGCGGCCTAAATAAGATGTGTGCTTTAGTTACCGGTACTGGACGGCTGGTATAGTTGTAATAGCGACAGCTGGACACCCACCCGTCGATGAGATCTAGTAGGAGATAAAATTGGGACACGATCTCTGGTCTTTCTATACTTGCAAAATTGCCATAATGGCATAATATATATACCATCTTTCTAACAAAATCGATACAATTCTAGAGTCAGGTTAAAGTAATAAAACTATCTTAAGTTTGAGTGGAAGTATAGAAAATAGTACCAATACGTATGAATTCAAATAAGTGTATACTATACGATGGAAATATATTTCATGATGTATGTAATAATATTTACTTATAGTATGATAACTATTGATATTTTTATTATATATAAATTAAATATATATATCGTCAACACTATTCTCGGACTGCATCTTCCATTCTCTTTTTTTTGGAGGTACATCTTCTTCCATTCTTTTTAGAACTGACTGATGAAGGAGTAGTAGGGACTAGGAACACACAATGTCCAACGCAGACGGTTTGTACTTTGTGGTTTAATTCACGTCAACAGAAAAGCATATAAACACCGTGATACTGATGATACAAAACGATTATACGTGGCACTCGTTACGGTTCCCCTGGATCCTGATATATATGCAAACCCAAAAATTTCTTGTCTGTACACTGTGCTCAAGGCGGATGAACAAGCTGGTGAAGAGCATGGATGATTCATGAGGCTTGATGGCAATAGCGCGCAAACAGAAGCGGAGGACGGACGTATGGCCGGCACGAACAATTAAGAAGATGCATGAGATGGAGGCGACTGACTGACCTTGGCGCGTGGGTCCTGCGCCTGGACGAGGGCCCTGAGCTGGGCGACCATGAGCCACTCCCCTTCCCCGACCGCCCCGCCGCCAGCGTTCGCCATCTCTTTTTGGCCCTCCTGGTTCCTGGATGGATCTAGCAGGTAGCAGGAGCAGCGAGCGAGGCTCCTGCTCGCTCGCACAACGGCCGGCCGAGTTGGAGGAATATAATTAAGGAGATAGATAGCGTGGGGGTGAGGAGGCGCCGCTACGACCTCAACTGAAGAGGAAGAGGTAGAGGAAGCGAAGCACGCAGTACGGCGAAGCCAGAATAAATGGTCACCGGCCTCAACTACTCATATAAATAGCTCAAAAGGTTACAATAATATAATACACTAATAGATTGTTTGTGCTTTAATAATTTATCACATCTTTTCGTAGCCGTTATAAAAACTATTACTTTTTTGCCTACATAATCTGTAAGCCTAATCTACTACAAATACATCATTCCCACCTTATCTCTTATTGCAATCTCCGAACAAGTAACAATATAAACAAAAACATCTATCCACGTTTTCACTATACTCTAGACAACCATATTTAGTGACTATTCATGTTGAAGTATCTTCATCATTATTCTCATTATCACCTGTTGCGGATAATTTTCTTTTAAAGAATCTTTTCAACGTGCCTTGATTACCTATGAAATTAGTCACATAATAAAAATTAAAGCAGATAGATACTAAATTACTAATGTGCAAGTAGCCTACTATTAAAAGTCACTAGTGATTATTGAAATGCAACTATACAAGCTATACTAAAGTAGATAGTAGATAGGTACCTGACATTTCGCCGGAATGAAAGAGCACGCTCTTTGGTGGGAAGCCTTAAGACTTCATATTTCGGACTAGATTGTTTTAATTAGCAATTGCAGAATAGGGTATTTGGGGTACCTGGACAGGCAGACAGAAGACGAGCAGATAGTTTATCGTCGCTGGCCACCAGCAAGTCGTCACTGTGATTTACGCCAAGCGTCTTTAAGACGCGAGACAGAGAACGAACAAGCGGCCATTGGGCGCTGGGCACCGGCGCCGCTTGCCAAATGCTAGAACAATGGAGATCGGAAGATGAAACAATGACTACTCAGTTCAGGGCTCCAGGCTGTAGCGGAGGCTGGAGGCAAACGTTTGGCCTTCTTGGCTGCTGCCTGTATAGTATCCAGTTATAATTTACATTTACGTTCCACGTACAGGAAGCAGAAGATGAGCCGAACTGCTGGACTGCCAACCCTAGTTATTAGGACCGGACCGGACCGGCGGTTCGACCGCTAAAAGACCGAACCAGAGTCTACACCGGTCCGGTTCACTTAAAAGACCGTATGTGCAATCGAACCGCTAAAAACCGGTTGAACCGGCCGGTTTTTTACGGAACCGGTGAACCGGCCGGTTCCATACGAACCGGTGAGTTTTTGAGTTTTTTCAAAATTACCCCTCTGTGCACCCAGGACGACCTTATCTAGTTAGGGGTATTATTGGAAATTGGCTCCAAATCTTGCATTGAACCGGCCGGTCCGGAATGGTGCTGTACTGCTGTGCGTGCAGTCTGCTCTGGCTGGTGGCGTGCATCCGCTGTGCACCTGCTGCGATGGTCCCCACAGGGCCCCACCTGTTGTGCACGCGCTCACGCAGGTGGTTCGTTGATTGGACTTTCGGAGTACTGGACCTTCACGTGTCTTTTAAATTTTAAAAATTCAAAACTTTTTTCGATGGTTGGGTTTTGGGCTGATAAACCTGGCTGGTGCTGCTTTGTTACGAGAAAGAAACACTGTTGGCTGGCTGATAAGCCCTAGTTAAAACCAACAAGCGAACAGGCTGAATATATCCATTTTGATTATCTGAATGACCTCTTCACAATAGTGCACTCCATTTAAGTATTTGAGATTGTTTTACAATGATGAATATTTAAATTACTATTTAGTTTTTTTACCAATTTATAAATACTCCATATATTATCTTTTCATGCGCATTTTATGTTTCTTTATCATCTAATTTGCATATGTAATCAATTATTCAATTATATGTTATTGATGATTTATTGTATATTATTATATTACACCGGTTCAAAATATTTGTGGGCGGTTCAATTCATCCGGTCCAAAACTATCGAACCAGCGGTTCAATCGATTCTTAATGGTTGGACCAGTGAACCAGTGAACCGATGGCCTTGCCGGTTCAATCTCCGGTCCGGTCCTAATAACATGGCTGCCAACACGTTAGGGTTCATCGTATTTTCTACTGTGGACCAACGTGATGAAAAATCGCTAGCTATAACAGGCTACGACAAAGTCGTCGGTGTCGGCTGACCCCCGATGCCTTCGCGTAGCTTCGCCCAGTAGCAGCTTGTGGCTAGCTGTGGACGAGGACTGGACTGGGTACGGGCCACGGGCGAGCGAGGTGGAGTGGAATGGCTACCTAGCCAGTAGCTAGCTTTCCAGACTGCTGCTACAGCGACCGACGGCGAGGCGACCCAACCCAGCCAGTCGTCAGTCAGCTGTGGAGGAGTGGGGATCGGGATCGGACTGGGCGCCAGCGAGCCTGATGATATATGCATCAATAATGCTGCTACTAGTCCACCGTACGGGCGTCCTGTTTGTCCTGACGCGCCCGTTTATTCTTGGTTTTCTCCTTGGCCCCTTGTGTGAGCCGAGACGACGACGTACGCGAGCGCTGCGTCGTCGTCGTCGTCTTGTCTCCATCGTCGCCCTAGTCCCTCCGCGAGCACGGGCCACGGCTCACTGGTCCGGGGGTCCGGGAGTGTGGAGTCTGGACTGCGGTGCCGTGTCGCCTGCTGTTGGTGTGCTCAGTGCCAGCACCGCACCGCACGCCTCAGCGACGACCACCCGCCGGTCACTCTCGCGGTCCGGAACAGGCCACGTCTTCTTTCTAAGTACTGCTTTTCCAACGAGCAACCAACTCACTCGATGCACGGACGTCGGATCAAGCGACAACGACGACGGACTGACTGATTGATGTGCGTGAATAAATGATGCGCAGCTGTATCTGTACCTCCCCTCAGTTTCAGGGCATGTTTGCAAAGCAGCAGCCTGTTCGGGAGGCCGTATCGTGGATTATTTACTGCTGTCTGGTTTGGTGTGAGAGAAAAATACTGTTACTGGCTGGAAATTTACGATCGTTTACGAGCAAGCGAACAGGCTGCAGATATTTCGAAGGAACGACGTAAGAATTTCATCAACGCGAGTTTGTCTTAACTCGTAAGAGTACGTGCTATAAGTTAGGGTGACATATAGGGCGCGTTTGGTCGGGCTCCCGCCGGCTCTGACTCCTACACTGTAGCGTAACTGTAGCGCGCAGGAGCTAGGGCCGGAGGAGAAAAAAAACGAGCTTCTCCGGTATATGGGCTGTCAGTGAGAGAGGAAAGGAGGAGAGAGAAAAACGGCTCCGGTAAACAGTATCGCTACAGGGGAGGAGTCAGAGGAGCCGGAGCCGCTCGGAGCCCGGCCAAACGGGCTCATAATATGAGACACGGCTGACATGAGTTTACGTCGCATTCGGTCTAATTTGGAATTTGGCTCATAGTGGTCTACGTGCATGTTAATAATATATGAAGGGTTAGACGCACCTTTATTATTCAGAGCGGGTTAGATTAACATATAAGACTTCTATAGTTCATCGCATCATACATGCTCAGGTTAATCCTTTTATGCGAAGCAAGGATGAAACCGTAAGTGAAATAGTGTTAAGGTATGGTTCACTCACCGTGTAGAGTGGATCTGAGCCGTTTGGATTCTGGGGCGTTACAAATGATACATGTGCCGACACTCACCGTGCGTAGTGCAAAAAATTAGGTGGAGACAAAATATTTGGTATAGATTAATAGACAAAATTTGTCAAGTTAATATTAATATTTGGTATAGATTAATAGACAAAATTTGTCTCTTTATTGAAACGAATCAGGCTAGAGAGCTGCCAATTATATTAAAAAACAGATGAAGTCCAGACTGGACAAAAATAAATAGATACAACGTCGATCGGTTGGATTGGGTCATCAACACGCACCGAAACCCTAACTCAAAATAGAAAACAAAAACAACTCTAGCCGGTCAGAATGGGACATCGACGCCGCAACTCTACATGGAACACGCGCTTCATCACCACCAAATCACAACGAACTGGTCACTACAATGCACCGCCACCCTTCGAAAGACAAAGTCGTCAAGACGAAAACGCCCTTGTCACCGCTTGCGCCGTCGTTGCCGACGATGTCCCACACCGAGTAATCCGCTGCTAAGCAGGGCTAGTCGTGTATTCCGCTGCAAGCCGTGTAGCCCTTTCGCAATTAGATCCGCTTGCGCCGTCTCTGAAGACGTTGTCCCACACCGGAGTAGCCACTGCAAAGCAGGGCTACCCGCTGCAGGGCACTGCAAGCTGCCAAACTGACGCGAGATGAGCTGCATCAGGCACACACCAAGCTGACCCCGCCCACCGAGATGCACGCGTGCACACTGTATCTTCCAGTAGCCTAGCTGTCTAATCGAAGGTAGAAGTGCCACACACGCCCTCTGGCCGCCGGTCAGAAGCCTCCTTGTGCCGAAACAGCCACCGCTGAGCGGGACCGTCCGCCGCCACACCACGCAAAGTCACCTCGGCAACACAAGTCTGCTGGCCACCACCTCCCACGTCGGCCTCCTCGCCAACTCCGTGGGGCATCTCCCACACCGGCATTCTCGCCAACCTCGTGGTCGTAACTCACCAACTACCAAACAGATGTGAAACCTTCCAATCACCGCGCTGAGGCCCTCTTCCCGACCACCATCCGCCGCAAAGGCAATCGAAAACTTGAATCCTCACTTAGGCCTCCACCTTACTCGCCACGATGGTGGCGACCGTCACAGACAGACAGACAGACGCTAGCTTCCAAAACGACGCCACCAAGGAGGGACGCGACGCCATCGGCGCCACCGTCTGACCAGAAAGGTCAAGGTTTTACACCCAGAAAGAGCACGCCACGTAAATGGAAGAGGGCCAATCGATGGACGCTTCCAAGGAAGAATACGACGCCTGAAGGCATCGCCGTCATCGGTCCAATGAACATAGCTTTCGCCATG